CAAACACCTACATCATAATCGCAACCCAGTGACTTGGTAGAAACACATCAGTTTCAATGCGACGATCACACATATCTACGTGGTATCTACGTACAGAGATTTGGCTTCTACAGCATAGCATCGCAGCATTGCATTGCAGCGCCAGCATTGACTGCATAGGCGGTCAGCTACCTTAATCAAATCAACACTCGATCCAGGATTGGGACCCTTGCGATTCTCAAACACTGTGGAATAGAGTAATCAACTGGTTCAGATCATAACAGACTTGGCCCTGAGCCAAGGCAATTACCAGTCATCTCAGCTCTGGCTGCGTTCTCGGCTGCTGGGCGTTTGATGCTGGGTTTGATTGTGGTGAGGCAAGCTGTTGGTGTTGGTGTTGCTCATTGACGTAGCATCCGTCCCCTTATCTCATATCCGGTTCTTTTCCTTTCGAGTGCCGGGCTATCCCATCCCCCGGTCTCATCATACCCTACCTAAACGAGACGATTGACTTTGATCCTGTGTTAAAACCTTGTCGGGTTCAACAGTCCAGACTCGGTTGAAGCTCGATTCTTCGCTCATCATTTCCTGTTGAAATGTTCCCCACTCGTCCCCCACTGGTGATCATGCTGGAGTAGAAGGTTAGAGAATGCTTCGCAAAGCTTGGCCTGCTTGCGTGGACATGAAAGCCACCTCGGAAGCCAAACCCAAGTCTCAAGCCCCCCGGGTCTGGTCAATTTCAGTTGTGAGCATTTTACCATATGCGTGTTGGCCGTAACTTTATAGGGATGGGTCTAATAAGTCTGGAGTCGATACACTTTGCACTTACTTACACCGAATATTTTGAGGGTCCATTGACTTCCGGATGCAGCGTCATACTACAACCTGGCGGGAAGGAATACTACATACTTACCTACATACTTAGATACCGTCGATAGAGATCAAGGTCGTGTTAACGGTGAGGGTCTGTATTATGCCGGGTCCTACACATACGCACGCACAAGTTTGTATGTGACCAAGCGACAGTATGCCAGCATTAACAAATACGAAACGCATTCCTACCTGGCCTTAGCCATCATCTCTCTTCGCATCCAAGGATTGCATTGATTCTGATTCTGTAAGAGGCAAGCTGAGCTGAGCAATTGGTTGATTGGAGATACGTACCTCTCCACCCCTTTTCCTTACCCCTTGCAGATGTCGATGTGGCGCGTGCTCTGACGATCCATCTCCGATGTATACAGCCAATCAACGTGATAATTGTCGGCCTCATCTCCATCAAACAAGCTATTCAAGGGTGGTGTAGCGGGCTGTTGTGGGGCTTCCCTGCAGCTGCATGTCCGAAAACCCGCTAATAAACCCGGCTCTCTTCTTCCCCATGCGCTTCTAGCATATCTGAAACTGAGCTAATTAGAGGTGACCTTTCTGCTCCGTTCTTCATCTCCCATCCCATCCAAGGCCTCACTTTTCCTTTCTGACGGTATCAAATACTGAGAACATTTCACTGCTTGACATTAAATTGGCAAATGCCGAGCTACCCTTGCAAGTCATCCGAATAATCGAACACATGCTCGACTTCGCGAGACGTCATTCAATCATAGCTTGGCTATACCCAGCAGAGCCAGCTCCGTTCGTGGCCACGGACAGTTCGGCTCGTCGTTGGTTTCTCTGCAGGTCACCCTGGACAGTTCCACAGTAGGAGATTGGTTGTGTCACAGAATGATTGCCTCTGCCTCATGGTTCGGAGCCAGAGATACTCATTTGATGGCCTTGGGGATCAAGAAAACTTCCGATATAACAAAAAGGTGCCAATAATAATTAGCCTATAACCCGATTAAGTTTATCCCAAAATGGTCAGATTTCATATCGCCAAGGATAATGATAATAAGCTTTCTTGCCTTTCATACAATGGACTTTAGGGTAGGTCGGGGTGACGATTAAATATCAAGAACCGAACACTAGGATAACTCGAAGTTGTTAGCTACCCCCATGTCAAATCGTCAATGGCTTGCTTTCAAAACTTTGACACAATAAACTGATCGTTGTTGATCATCGGAGTCCGGCTTTGTTAACATACACATGATCCCTTAGTCGGCCACGCTACAGTACCTATACTACTTCATAAATTATCAATTTGTCTAGTCTGTCTACCTCTTTCCACCTCTAAGTTGTAGTTCTCACACCCCTCACAGCACGTATGTACTCCTCCCTTAGACACACTGAACTCAGCCATCAACGCATTTGTCTTAAACCCATTGAGTCGATCACAGCGACTCGATACCGACTTCCGAGCTTGGGTGGCATGACACGCAATCCACCACTTTTCCATATTCTACCAAAACAGGGACCAGTGATTCCCATTGGAGAAAGTATCGGACACGGTGGCGCTGAACTTCATTCCTTCAGTGCACCTCGAACAACTTTATCCTCGCTTCTAAACCAAAACCATAATATTTAGTTCAGTCCCGGCTCTGCTAGAGTTTGAGTATTACATGGCCGACCTCTTAGAGCTGTATCAATGAGGAAGTCCAGCCTTGTCACCGGTGGCACCGAATTCGTCTATCGAGTTTCAGACCTATAGATGATGATCGGTAGTTCTAGGCCTAGGACTTGGCGAATAGAGGCCGAAGTTCTACGGCCTAACATTGATAAACTGAAGATATACGTAAATATCGAGATATATAGTCGTAACCTTCAAACTTTGATCTGAACAAGCAATTTAGTTAGAACTTTCAAGCCGCTTTGCTGATCGATCTTGGTCCACATGAAAGCACAGATCATCCTATACTGGCGTCTCGTTACATCCAGTCCTCGGGGAGCAAGAAAACACCGGACCTAGATATAGGGTATTGAAATTGACTAAGCAAAGAACCCCCTAAGCTTTAGGTAGGTTAGATTTACCTAAATATTTTTATTAGGTACTTAGGGTCAAGGGCCTATGTTTTCTTTCCTCCTCTAGCCAGTACCCGATATCCTGGGTCTATCCTGGGATCTTGTCCTCAATTCTCCACATGTCTCCTTCATTCATTGTCACACGCGCCCACTCTCGACCTTAAGCCCCTAATTAGCTGAAGTTTTGTATGATCGATATAAGCTTCATAGAACTTCAACGTGTCTTTGTACTTCAGTGATGCACCTACCCTACAGACTACGCTCTGATTTTGAGGCAAGTTAGGTATGTCAAATCACGTACACAATAATGACTTGCTCTGGGCTAATTTGTTTTGACTTGATAAGAAACAAAATAGACAGGCTCATACAATTAGCTGCACAAGACGGTTCGGTTTCATGCATCTTACTTGTCTCTGCGAGTAACCAACTCTCCATAGCGTCCTTTAACAGATGTCGACACTGATCAAAGAACCGGTCGATCGGACCAGCACACAAGTACACCACCAAACACAAAACCCCTAGGAATTGATGCCGCACAAAGAAAAGAAACTGTGATACTACGTACGTCGCTTGAAGACAGGGCCGATCGATTCGGCGACATGCAAACACGACATGGTACAACCGTGCCGTCACTTCTCGAAGCAAACTCATACTTCTCGTGAACCCCTCTAAAACGGGCCTGAGAAAAGACCAAGACAAGATTCTCATAATTGTTTCTTTGTTGGCGGCCTGTATGAAGGCCAGAGAGGGTGTAGGTGATGTCAGCCAACCAACAACGTGACCCATTCTGAACATCAAACATGGGCGCTTGAAAGGCCCGTTTCTTGTTTCACGAAGCGCACAAGCGCCGGAAATCGAGAAAAAAGACAGCCAAAGTGTGAGAAGGTAAGGGCCAGCTCCGACTGCTGTAATGTCATAATACAATTGTCCCGGAGATTCGTACTCTACAGGGAGTAGTGAGCTTGAAACATAAAGCCCGTCTCAATAGACTTGATTTTGGCCATGTCAAGCTCAGTTCACAGTATCAAGAGTCTAACTACTACATTAAACTGCACCTTGCTTAACATACGTGCCTCTACACAGTCAGGAAAGCAGATTACCGCCGTATGCCCCCTCACGGCGTGTATATGTCGGTTCCAGCTTAGGTTTCTGCCCACCACACCAAGCCAATCGTCCCCTCCGCTGGCCGACGTTTATTTGAAACGAAACGGCTGGTTGCATGAAAACAGTCACGCTGCCTGAATGAGTCTAAATGAGGCCGAAACAAAAGCCCCGGCTAAAAGGGCAACGACACAGAAATGATCATGTGCATGGTCTGGGGCATATGTGAGGTTGTGCGACTCTGAGGGCCAGTCACCGACAAGAAGGCCCTACTCAAGGTTCAAATTTGTGACCATCCTCATACATGCGGCTCAAGGAGCATGCTTGTTTCATATCAAATGCCTTTGGTCACTATGAGTCCAGCCTCCGGCATCTCGCCAAAATCCGTGTTGGTCGCTGTAAAACGGCATGGCGGTGTCCTAGGCAGCTCCATTAGATGTTTTCGACCGGTCTCATGCATCGTAATCATATACCTCTCTGTCCATAAAATGTCGATCTCGTCATGTGGTCTTCACCAGATCACAAAAGAAGGACATGCCGAATTGTGGCTCCACCCCTTAGCCGAACGGCAGTGTTGATGGTGACTTTTCTCAAATGTCTTGGAGTGCCGTGTATCATGGGTCCAAGGCTCGCTGCATGATGCTGCATATTCTTTTGCTTTTGGGGGCTGCAATGCTGTGACCAGTAACTGCTGTTGATGCGCTTGATCTGTGTGAGGTTAGGTGAGATGCTGAGAACCTGAGCTTTCAGAGCGAGTTGAAGGCGCCATAACAATATCATGTCGCAACAGCCATTGACATCGAGGTGCCGGTTGATGTGTGAATTTTACCGTCAGTCAATACATTGCTTGGCTTGGTAAATGGAGTGAAAAAGACTCTATCGAGCTGGATATGAGACCTGCAGCTTCGTATTCAATGATATATAATACCGCATGTGAGCAAACGGATTTTGATTTGATAGCTGGCAGTTCTCTCTTTGATTCATCAACAAATATACATGACCGGACCTCGATCTTAATAGATTCCAGCGCTCTATTGTTGCGCATCCTCCTGCCCCGGAACGAAGGGCTTGCCGTCTCCAGGCCCGATGCGTACATCAGCAAAGATCTGCTTTGGTCGAAGGTGAACAGGGGTCGAGTTCGTTGGCTGATCGGGGATCTTCTTCTCGAGTTTCTAGATCTTGTATTAGAACCTTCATATAGAGTGATGGACCATAGTTGTCGTACCAGGTTGTCGTAGACGCACTTGTTGAGCTTCCACTCAGCAGGACGGCACTGCCACAACTGGTGATTTCGATTGTCGAGGCACTCCCAGTGCTTGCGGAACTCAGCCAGGCAGTGGGTGTTGATATCCTTGATACTGTTGATCATGTCAGCGGCTGACCCTAGCCTGGAAGCAAGATGCGCTTCAGGAAGACCACCAGACTATACGGTCTGCTGAACCTTAGATAACATACACGCTGGAGGCACATCGGGTAACTCGTCGGCCCTCCTTCAAGCACTCAAGCTCTCCTCGGCCAGGGTTCTCGTTCTTGCATTGCATATAATCGTCATTGTAGTCGCGGCATCGAGCACCGATGAAGAAGGAGGCTGAAAGTAGAGGAGCAGAACTGGCACCGACCTCCTTGACAGCGGGAATATCGGCGGGCAACGGAGTGGTGTCAATGAGCAGCTGCTGGGAGAATCTGATGGGTTGATTAGTTAGCCAATTATCAGCTGTTATAGAGCTCAATTGCATCCGCTGGGAGCTCCGGAGCAAATACAAGAAAGTCAGCCGTCGAGTGAACATACTGAGGCCTTCGGGTAGACATGGTGCCGGTATTCTGCGATGCTCGTCGTCAAACGTTGCGGTGATTCCAGAATCCGGAAGTGGTTATGTGAGGTCGTTTGGCTAGGATTTGGTAGCGTAAGGTAGGAATTGGCTGGCTATGATTGGTGGTTCGGTGAAGCGAGGCTGGGCGCAAGGCTGCAACGGGGCCCAAGGTGAACCGTAGCTCTGTTTTCGCGTCGCTCAGCTCCAATAATTTTAAGCCGCCAAGTAAACACGGCAAACAATCAAACAATCACATTTTCAGTCTTGCAGCCCTGACAAACTTTGACTACGACGACTACATAGTCGCAGAACGGGAATCAGTCTTATATTGAGCTACTAGTTACCTCTTTCGCCCGGGTTCCGTCTCGGCAAGGAATCTCATCAACCAAAGCTTAGCTTGCCGACTGATAGCTCCCATTTCAGACGTCGCAACACAATCACCCAACATGTCGCTCTTCGGACAGGCTAGGCCTTCGCTGTTTGGGCAGTCGCAGCCCGCTCAGACAACTGCGCCGACTCAGAGCACAGTTTTCGGTCTAGGCCAGCCTCAACAACAGCAACAAGGCAACACACTCGGCGCATCGATCCAGCAACCACAGCCGCAACAGATGCCAGCTCTATCTCAATCGCAAGCTCAGTTGTCAAACTCGCTATGGCAGCCTGGAAAGGAAACACCCCGTATGTTGTCAAGAAGGAGCTGTTCTCTCACATCGCAAGACTGACTCTTGCATAGATCAAAAGCCGATTCTGGAGCAAATGAAGCTTGTTACCGAGAAATGGGACCCTGCGAACCCCAACTGCGTCTTCAAATACTATTTCTACAACAAGGTCGATGAGAGCCACGTTCCTTACTACAAACCTCAACCTCACGAAGACCCTCGGGAATGGGAGGAAGCCCTACAGAACAAGCCAGCCCCTGGGTTCATGCCTGTTCTTTGTTCCGGCTACGCTGGCGTTGCCGACCGCCTTAAAACGCAACAGCGCGCCGTTGCCGATTTCAACACTCGTCTCCACCAGATCAATGGCAGCCTGGATGCCATTCTTCAGCGCCACGAGCTCGAAACCGAGGTTCGCGCCGTCGCAGCCCGTCGACGACAAACAACAATTAGCGAAAGATGCCTAGCGCTTGCTGCGCGGATACAAGTGCTCCGCAACCGTGGCTATGCACTGAGCGGCGATGAGGATGACCTGAGCAGCCGCCTGCAGACTCTGGAGCGAGAAGTTCAAGACCCTGCTGTTGGAGCAAGAGAGGAAGAACTCTGGAGCCGACTTATTGTGTTGCGAGGCTATGCTGATCAGCTTAGCAAGGAGCTGGATAAGCCTGCCGGTTCTGAGGGAGAGAGTATTGATCCAGAGCGAGAAGCCAAAGCAAAGCGAGTAAGTGACGGATCGGTCGCGGTACACGCAAACCAGCTAACCCTTTTTCAGGTGCTTGAGGATTATGAGAAGCAGATCCAGCATATCAAGAAAGAGCTCGAGGCTTTATCGACAGATTATGCAGAGTGGGAGAAGACCAGGAACCCGCACTCAAAATAAATGGAACGTAAACAGGGCACACAGTTTACAAAGGTGGTAAAGACGGAGCAACTGTCTTTTGTTAGGATGTATATTGGTGACATAGAGTTGGAGTCAGGACTGGGTATTCATCCTAGGCGTCATAGGATACGAAACGTAACTCTTTGTAAAGTCTAAGAACAATATCGACACAGCAAGTGATACCTCTATTTGGGGGTTTGACCTGGGAGCGGATATGGTGCATTTTGATGTCGTGAGTGATGCTACTGCGCGGCTTTTACCACGTATTGGGATATGTATTGTACAGATTAATCATGACTTCCTTAGTAGTTACCCGTCCCATCTAAACCGGGTCTATTGTACATGGCGCGGCAGAAGCACCATCGACTGGATTGCAGGCTCATAACACTATCAAGACAACACGGACAGATTCATGTCGTAAACGGTGGTATTGTTATTTAGAAGATCTTGCCAACGAGGTCGATAGCGAAGGGAGCTGGGGAACCTCGTTAGCACCACTCATCTAAAACCAAATTTTTTTTATCAAACGTACAGAGGTAGAGGAGAACAGCAGTGGTAATGGCACCTTGGACTGTAAAGGCAGCGTCGGCCTCAAGAGCGCGGATCTCTTCCTGAGACTGCTGAGGGGGGGCGACTGTAATGAATCAGTTTGCTAGTTCAATAATCCAATTGGAGTTCGACATACATCCACCAAACATTTTGTATATAATTTAATCGAAGAAGAAGTGTTTGGTTAAAGGGCAACGCACGTTGATAGCAGATTAGACTCGGGTATGATGCTATCTCGTTTCGCTGTCATGGCTCAAAGAATTTTGAACAAGCGCGGTTCGGATTCCAAAAAGCGCTGACCAATCAGATGCTACGATTGATGGCGAACTCGCAGCTCTTATCGATAAGCAGGCTACCTATGTCATCAGAAACTGATCAACTTTCCATCCATCTCGACAGTTGTATGTTGACTACTAAGATAGTAGTAGATAGAACTACTCGGATTTTTTCTCCAATCGACATGGATATCATAACGACCAGCCAGCCGTATGCTGGGACTCAAAATTTTACAAAATCTAGGCCATCAAGCCATGGCAACCAATATCCAGGGTATCATCCCTTTAATTATATTCATTGTAATCATAAGATAGCAGAAACGACTTCCGCGTACGCTTTTCTCCTTCTATATACCATTTCCTCAAACCTTTGATTCTTTTCAAACACTATGCTTCAAAGACTAGAGCAACACCGTCGTCTCCAGCGGTGACGATCCTCTCTCCTGTCTCGCCTTGAACAAAGCCCAAGACGCCGCCACCTTCTCCATCACCACGGTGGCCCTTCCATTCCTTTTGCAGACCAGCCTCAGCAGCTGTTGCGGGAGCGTTGGGATTTGTGGCACCAGCACCTCGGAGATCCCAGCGGCGTACGGCACCGTCCATGCCGCAGCTGGTCAGTTGCCATGAGTTGGGGATGAACTCGAGCTTGACAATGGCATGTTCCTCATGGGCGCCGGAGATGTGTCGTCGGACAGCGAAACGGCGGGTGGTATCGTAAACTACAATGGAGCCATCCACAGAGCCGGCTGCGAGAAGGGTGGAAGGAGGTGTGTTTGGCGTTGTGACGAGAGCAAGCGACTCGATACTCTCAGACTGGGTGTGCAGTGCGGCGAGAATTTGGCCGCCAGCGGTCGCCGTTGACTGGCCAGTAGTCTTGCCTCCAGCTCGGGCACGAGCCTGGGGCTGAGGTCCGGACGATGCAAGTCGCGGAAGAGAGACGATCTTGATGGCGCCAGTGGCACCACCGACAGCAACGAAAGCACCCTTGGGGTCAATTGCAAGCGAGTAGAGACCGCCCTCAACCTCGAAACGCTGATCCTCGGCAGTCAAAGCCACCGCGGTCATACCGTTATCACCAACGAGGTTCTTGGCAGTAGCCTCGCCCCAAACGTCCCAGACGTACAAGCTTCCATCCTCGGAGATAGTAGCTAACAGAAGGCCATCAGGCGTCCAAGCACCGGCGGTACAGGCACCGGTGTGTAGGAAGTAGGACTGAACGATCTGAAGAGAGTTGGCTTTATCTGTGGGATCGATTGTGTAGACCCAAACTGAACCGTCGGAAGCGCCTAGAGCGATGGTGTTGGGGTTGGTGGAAGATGGGCATGGCGCAATCCAGTTGACCTCAGGCACCTCCTGTGCTTCACCAAGGAAGTCCATCTTGACAGAACCATCGTTCGAGATGGTTGCCTTCCAAGCGCGCAACCTTCCGTCAAGTCCACCACTGACAAGGGCTTCTCCTTGGGGTAGAGTCCACGCGAGTGTGTTGATCGAGTCTGTGTGACCATCTAGGCTAAACAAAGAGGGTAGCTGGGTGCTCTTCAGGGCGTCTGCGGCGGGATCGCTCGAGAAACTAGCAGGAAGCGGAGGCCTTGATTGAGCAGAGGCCGTGTTGAAGACCCATCCTGCACCGGGAGCATCATCTTCCTGGCCAGCTGAACCGCCAACCGCGATGATGGAGGGGTACTTGGGATGCTGGGCGATGGTGAAGAGAGAGTCTTTAGGTTCGTCGAAGTAGCCGATGGAGTCGTTTTGGAGCAGAATCTCCTCATTGTCGGAGTCCATAGCAAGATCCTCATCGTCGAGAATCTCCTCGGCAGCATCCTCGGCGGCGAGCATATCCTCCTCGAGCTCCTCGTCGACAGGCTCTTTTTGATCGCGGGGGTTAGAAGACGACATGATGGCGGGGTAATTTTATGACGAGGGTACGACGAGTGATGTTCGATGAGAGAGATAGGTATTATAAAAAACAAGAAGAATTGAACAAAGGGAATCAAGGATATGCACTAGGTAGCGCAGTTGATGGGCGCTCCCTTTCGTTTCTCAGTTGTTACTTGCTTGATAAGCAGGCAAATGTTTTCAACTTTTTGGTGGTCGGCGAGACAAGGATTTTTTTTCCCTGACTGCGGGCGGGGTGGTGGCGGTCATGGTAGGCCGCTTAGCTCCAGAACGTAACGGAATGAATCTTGGGGTATGAACTCGATGTGCTCTGATAAACGAATCAATATTAGCAGCTATATCATTAGGGTATTACAATCATCAAAAGGAGGACTAGTAAGTCTAGGTAGCTTAATCGTATAAATGTATTGAAAGTGTCTATTGTAATGGGGTTGAGGCCAAGAAATGTTCACTTACATCCATCCTCCAATGATAAACCCTTCTATTTGATCCCTCTTATTTGCAACAAGTATTGGTTTTTATGCTGTAGTTTATGGACGAGGTACACCGTTCGCATTCAGGTGTGAATGGACCTTTTCTTCATGGTTTTATGAATGACAATAGACATTTATGGTTCCTCTCATAAAAAACTGCAAACTGCTTGAAAAGGTCTCTATAGGTAGGTAATTAGGTAGCTTGATGGTGACATAATTAAGCGCGAAACAATCAGCAGTACCTACTATATACGCCAGCAACGCCTAAGCAGCAGCAGCAGCTTTCAGCCGTCCAGAACCTCAACCCAGTTCTTTTCTGACTGCTTCCGCCTCCATCTATCCTTCGCGGCTTGGCGCATAGCCTTCTCCTCTTCTCCAACCTCATCGGCCTGTGTTGCCATTTCCCGAATCTGATGCTTGAGACCCAATGAAAGCATCTTATACCATCCACCATGAAACTTGCAACGCTTGCGCTCACACATGCCGCGAACTTCGTCGCCTTCTCCTAGAGGATCGCTCATTTGAGACGCTTTGAAAATAGCCTCGCCTTCTGGCGACTTTGCAAACGCCTCAAAAGCGTCCCGGGCACCAATGCTGTCGAGGCGTTCATCGTATCCACAGATATCTTCCTTGAAGCGACCGGCAGTAATTGCAGCTTGCCGTCGCTCATGTGCGAACTCCAAGAGAGTGAGCATTTTGTGACAGAGAACTGTTTCCTCGGCCAAGTGGAAGCGTGCTGCGGCTGCACTTTCGAGATACTCTTTCTCCTCCGCAGAGAGATACATCTGGTCGGGATTTTCTGTGATACTTGTTAGCCGATTTGCGTGATAGGTAGGATATGACAGCGACATACCTTTCTCAGTTCCGTTTGTACCATTTGACTCTTTGCCTGCAAATGGTGCCTTGACCAGCCTCCAAAGCCCTTCTTCGTCAGTTCCCGAGAGACCACCTTGAAGGAGCGCCATGAATTCCTCCTGGGTAAGCTGGTCGTTAACTCCTCCTTTTCCCTTTGCCTTGGGCAGCTTGGCTACCATGCGCTCCCACCATGTTTGCGCATGCTCGTTGGAGCAGAACACGCTCTTCTCCTCCTGGGCTATTCGGGCCGCCTTTCTACACCCGCCCAAGGCGCATGTTTTCTTGTATAAAGTTGTGAGGCTTTCGTTTGTGCAGAGTGGACAGATGAACTTTTCGATTAGATTTTCGCCAACTTCTTTGTTCATGTTGATACATTCTCCATGGAACCAATCCTCGCAATTTTCGCAACATATCATCCACCGGTGGTCGTCTGCCCCACGGCATAGGCAATATGGTCCATGGTCGGATTCCTCGAGTTCGGATCCGGCCGAGTCATGTGCATCGCCCGCGGAACCTGATCGCGCGGGTTTGGCTCTTTTTGCCGCCCTTGGCCCTCCTGTTTTCTTTGATCGCTTAGGCGTCTTCTTAACTGCCGAAGCGGTGCCTTTCTTCTTTGAAGCTGTGTGAGTGGCCATGTTGTGAAGTTCTGAAGATGTAGCAGGAGGATGTGAAGGTGAGTTGGAGGAGGCGGGGTGGGCATCTGACGGAGGTTGAGGGGTACTCTCGGCAACCGTTTCGCTCTTTGTGTCATTTTCAAAGGGTTCAGAGCGAGAGTCTTCGCTTTGTCCTATTGTTGGTGTGGTTTGTTCCATTGTGGAGTGTTGACAGTGGCAGATATTGCCCCTTATATATACTTAATGTGGTCACTTGACAATACGACTTATATAATAGAGCGAGAAACAGACAATTCGAGGGCAATATGAGCACCGCCAGTTTATTAAGCTAATCGAGAAAAAAAAAACGGAAATTGAAACTTCGGTATAAGTGACAAGCTGTTGGAGATGGCAGAAGTAATGGTGGATAGTCTGAATGGAATGACTAAGGCGGAACCAACAGACCCGGTAAAAGCCCGGACTATGGTTTTTTTTTTGGAGCTTACCTTAGGTAAGGTAGGTCGTGATAATCGAAAGATGTAAGTTTACATAGTAGATTCCTGAGCTTTTGCATGAGTTTATCGACTCTTCCCTAGAGTCATTTCACCATGTCGAATTCAGTCACGACGTCAAGAGCATTGAGGGGTGTGTTTTCATCTCTCTCGACAAGACAATGCCAGCGATGTTTGTCCAGCAGTGCTCTCCAGCCCAAGCAGCTCCGACCAACCCTCCCACGAGCGACCATCCAGTCGAGACAGCCCGTTACCCAGCGCCGAACGAAATACAAGACGATCGAGCAGGCAAAGAGCCGATATAGCAATGGGGTATGAATAGAAAAGATCTGGGGGACAACGCGATGGCGATTGAAGAAACAATGAGCTGACAAATGCACAACAGCCCTTTTCTTGGAAGGCCGGAATTCTGTTCGTCGGTACCTGCGGCCTGTTAGTATGGTACTTTGAGTTTGAAAAGGCGCGCATGCAGCGCAAGAGAATAGCTGAGGCGGCCAAGGGCGTGGGCCGACCGAAAGTTGGAGGAACCTTTGAGTTGATCGACCAGGATGGAAAGCCATTTACCAGCGAGATGATGAAGGGCAAACACTCTTTGGTATGTCAAGGAAACGGGCTTCGCAGTTTCAAAACGGTGATGTTCATGGCTAATCTTTATTAGGTGTACTTCGGTTTCACTCGATGCCCTGATATCTGCCCCGAAGAACTCGACAAGATGGCTACCATGTTGGATATCGTCGAAGAAAAGGCCCCGGGTGCACTTCTTCCCATCTTTATCACCTGCGATCCGGCCCGTGATACCCCCAAGGCTCTTAAGGATTACCTGGGCGAGTTCCATGAGAAGTTTATTGGCTTGACCGGCACGTATGATCAGATCAAGGCGCTCTGCAAGAAGTACCGCGTCTACTTCAGCACACCTCAGAACGTCAAGCCAGGACAGGACTATTTGGTGGACCACAGCATCTACTTTTACTTGATGGATCCGGATGGTGATTTCGTTGAGGCACTGGGCAGACAACACTCGCCGCAGCAGGCCGCAGCGCTTATTTTGGACCATATGAAGGACTGGGATAAGAAATAGAGCATCCGCTACATGGTTGGGTTGTAAGATGAGCAGATGTTGCGGGTGATGTAAAAGTACTGTAACAACAGAATCATGAACTCACAGAAGGATACTGTGATATTAGGAACCACTCAATCAACTGTACATTTCCGTGAACTGCATTAAAACAAGAGCCTCGCGAATGATTTCTTTTTGTGTCGTAGTCTGCTGGTGATGAACTTAGGTATATATCGGGCACTGGGTTATGGCGATCCTCGGCTCGCATCAATTGTGGGTGGATATTACCGACAAGTCAGTCCTCTTATCAACCATGACTCTAACAAGTTGGACTCAAAACACTACAACTAATAGTTAACTTTGAGCATTACACGCCGTCGCTGTATTTCTTATCCTGCCATCTCACTGGAACCTCTAATCTCGGACCTTTGGCGTATATTTACTCCTATAACTTACTTGATCCTTCGCGTTTCGGTGAATATGCAACGCTTCGGTGTGGTCGGCCAATGCCGATTCGCCGCACGTCGATTGACGCAGCTACGGTCTGTCGCACCGACGACGACGGCTGTCTTGAGAGCCTCATCTATATCACAAAGGCCATTCACCACCTCTAGCATTTGTCTATCCAAGCCAAAGGGCTCACTAAGTGCCAACCCAAATCAATATGAGGAGCCCACCGACCTGGCGCGAAAGCTGTTTTCCGAGTTTGCCTTTGCATTTGAGTAAGTCGGCTTCGTACTGTTTCTTGTATCCTTTCCTTCAGCTCGGGAAATATGCTCGCGAATACAAAAAGTGTAACAGGAGCTGACAAACGACAGTATTGACGGGGTCCTGTACCAAGGCCGCAACAGAGTGGATGGAGCTGAGAAAGTCATCAAGATGCTCAGAAGCAATGGCATCCGATATGTCTTTTTGACAAACGGTGGTTGCGTCCCTGAAGATAACAAAGCCGAGACTCTTCAAGAAAGACTACAGATCGCCAAGAACGACGATGTGGTAAAAGGCAGGATGATTCTGTCACACACGCCAATGAGTGGTTGGAGTGACGATGTCAAGAACAATGGCACTGTCTTAATTACAGGCTCTCATCCGGAAAAAGCTCGTCAAATTGCTCTTGGGTGAGCATCATTCCTACGGGGAAACATTATCTGGTAAGCTAATTGCTATAGGTATGGATTCAAGCGTGTTGTCACCCCGGCGGATATCCTCGCCGAGTGCAAGGACGTGTTCCCCTTTGAGCATATTGACGGCGAGGTTAATGGCAGGGCGACGCCATTACCAGATGGCAAGCGAATTCCTTTGCTGAAGGACCCTTATACAACCAATGTCCCTGCGAACGCCCTCAAAATTGACCACATTTTCATCTGGAACGATCCAAGAGACTGGTCTGTTGACATTCAGATCATCCACGATCTCTTAATATCTCATCAAGGCTACATCGGAACTGTTTCGAACCGGAATGGTAACGAGTCTCTGCCCAATAATGGCTGGCAGCAAGATGGCCAACCTGGACTTTGGATCTCCAACCTTGATATGTTATGGAAAACAAACTATCCTGTGAACCGATTTGGCACTGGGGCATTCATGGAGGCACTCAAGGGAGTATGGTCATCAACTACCAACGGAACAAAACTGCAGTTCAGCGCACTCGGCAAACCATCCAACCATACGTACAAATACGCTCATGATAGGCTGCTACAGTACTACCATGATATGGCTTGCAATCGCGGTCAAAGCCCTGGGCACGATACATCCAAATGCCACCCTCTTCGACGCGTTTACATGATCGGCGACAACCCAGAAAGTGACATCCGGGGTGCTAGCGAATTTGAAGCGGAAGATGGTACCGAGTGGGTGCCCATTCTTGTACGAACTGGCGTCTGGCGACAGACATCGACTGAAAAGGAGCCTCGATACAAACCAGCCGTCATCGTGGACGATGTCGTAGATGCTGTGGTTTGGGCGCTCAACAACGAAGGCATCAAGGCCACCAGGGATTGGGTATTGTCTGCTCTCTCTCACACGAAGGGTTGCGTCAAGCTGCCGCCTCTGGAGATTGGGGATCAAGTTAGCCTTGAAGATGGAGTCAAGTACCCAAGTGAGTTGGAAGCAGCTGAGGCAAGAATATAGAAACTGAGCAATCTCAAATGGATTTTGAACACTGGGCGTAGAACTTGAAGCATTCCCATTGCAATTTAGGATAATAAATCTTCATATCTATCCGGTGGTTGCCTATTTCGAAATCTCAAGGCTGACTTTCCAGGGAAGGGTATCTTCTTCCATACCTGGTACCAAAGCTGAAAAAGGAGTTTATTATACCTTGCGTGAAACAGGGGGCACATATGCAAGAGGAATGCCCAAAGTCCGTTCCCGTTGCAGATACTGTTGGCGCTAACGAGCTGCATCCATCACAACCAACAACACCAACATGATGTCTGACCCCTCGAATAGGTATGCGGACTGAGCTGTTAGAAGGCCAATGGATCTAGACGACAAAAGTAGTAAGTGATTGAAAAGACAAGTTCAATTTCTTCCGTCTCCTCAAAAGTCCGGTTTTGGTTATCTACCACGTAGACTCGCCAATCTGGTGATAGTCCATGTTCTTGATCTGGGCCAGGGCACGTACATGGGGTGTCACATCGTGGCCTCGGCTGCAGGCGATGCAGTTCGCTCGTGACCCCCCTGATCAAGGATGTCCCAGCCTCCGCGAAGGACAGAAGACATAAAAGGTATCAAAAGGTCGCTCGCGTAGGAGTTCCCTCACCAATTGCTTTCCTCCTCAAGCTTGTTCTTTGTGAGCCTCTAAATCGACAGCTTTATGCCCCGGTCCCTTTTGTATAACAAATCTCTGGCCCTTGTATTAACTCCTGGAAATGAGTCCAGCGAACAGCCTCGCCGAGGCGCAGAGCAGCCTGTACAACGCGCTCAGAATCCCACAGACCGGAGACATCGACTGCTTTGCCGGGAGGGAGACACAAAGCCAGTGCCTCCATAAACTTCCAAAACGGCGACGAGCATTGATTAAGCCAATTGTGCAAGCCCTGGCTGTTCAAGAATCTAACGACGACGACCAGAAGGCCACCATTGATGCTTCTCTCCAGGACTTGGCCAAGAAACTCGTCTGCCACAGACCAGACAAGACACACACGGAAACACTCGTGTTCGACGGAGAAGTTTTTTCGAATCCCTTGGAATATGCCCATGCCTTATTGAGTAGGAGGTTCCATAACTGGTTCAAGAAGAAGAGCAAAGAAAATCCAAGGCTGGTATGGTCTTCTCAGAAATCATCGACTTCCCATCGAGAACGTGGAGCAGCGCGCATGAGCAGACGAAATTCAGATCAAAGTAAATGTTTTACCAATTACGACACAGACGACGGCGAGTACTCGGGCGACTATCTAAGCGATGATGTGATTGAATCAATTGAAGAAGACATCGATTTAAGAAGTCACGAGGAAGCCAGTTCAGAATCTTGTTCTGAAGATGAGGAGAGAGACGAATGTACCCGTCAGACATCTACACAGCGGGAACCTCGACGTCCTAGACTTACTAGGGAGAGCCCACTGGGTGACAGTGAGATCCCCACGACGCCTCCAAGGAACCACGGTTCGAGACATCGCAACGTTTATTCCAGATCATCAGGCCCGCTATTATATCCAGCATCTACGGACGATGAACTCTTTACTTCACCAGGGTCTGTCACCTCGCCAGATCCCAGTGAGATCTTCACACCATTTTCGACGGTCTCGACACCATATTCTACCTTCAGCACTGAGGGGTGCGAAACTCCACGATCTTCTTTTCGTCAGAGCTCCTACGATGAACGGCACATGGAGAGTCCAACGCGAAAAAACATGCAGACAGACGTTGACCTCCTTTCAAGTGATATGATGATGAAAATGAAACTCAACGTGGTTGGCTTGGTTAACCAGAGTGAGGAAGCTGAATCAGATGCGGAGTCATTGCGATCTCGTCGCTCCATGACCTTCGATGACACAGGGAAATCCCCAGTCCATGATATTATAAGTCATCTGGCAAAGCCACTTATAGAAACAAGCTTGAGACCTGGGTATATATATTGCTTTGCCGAAAGGTCAAAGCCTGGATTCCTCAAGATTGGAAGCGTACAAAGCCCCGAGTTCAGCGTGCCTGATGAGGTTGAAAGGAGGATGGAGGAATGGAAGCGTCAATGCAAACATAACTTGGACTACAAATTCAGGGTCTTTATGCCCTGTGCTGTTACGAGGATAGAGGCATTGATCCATCGAACTTTACACATACAGAAAAAGAAGGCCTCTTGTCCGAACAAAGCCTGCCGAAAGAAGCACAAGGAATGGTTCAGGATAGAGGAAGATGAGGCACGCCGAGTTATCGATATCTGGGAACAGTTCAGCAAGTTGAATCCATATGATTACAAGGGCAATTTAGGAGATCATTGGACCCGGTACAAACTGACACAGCTAGACGATGAATGTCTCTGGAATGCCAAAAGGTGGTTAGACACAGAGTGGATTCAGGTGATCACAGAGGCTGTCGAAGCCTTGATGCAAGAGAAGCAGAGAGCCCTGGCAGAGATGGGACACCAGCTGGCTGTGTTAAGGAGGCTCAAGAATGAATTTTGACGTAGAAGCACAGTCTGGGCACGTTCGGCCTGTAAGTTCACCAAATTGGATGCTTGTTGATGGAAGTGTTTAAGGTCTGGCCATAGCTATTATGCTTTGGATTAGTAAGTATTGTTTTATTAGTTAAAGCATTAATCGATGAATATATGAGAGATCAAGAATTGTGATACTTGTGAGTCGTCTTGTCCTACACGGGCACACGGCAGGCTATGTGAGCCAGTATTGCACCACGTACAAAGCACGAACGTGTAACTTGTCAGGATGAGGCTGTCTCGTCCCACTCGTTGAAGATGGAATGTTGAGTCTGGAGCGTGAGGGATATATGGATGGATGAGATGTGTTACCTAAACTCAGGGAACAAGAAAACTCCTGATATAAGATCCTGATGCTAACAGCAAGCTGTCATCCTAGGCAAGGCAAAGCCGCGGCTAATTACAATTAGTATACTTAACCTTTATAATTAATAATTAATAGTAAAGTTAATATTATATTTCTATTAGTAATTAAATAGAATTAAATTCTCTATATAACTATATTAAAAGTAATCTTAAGTATATTCTTTATATTATAAATAAAGGGTTTACTAAAAGCTAGTTAGTAACTACTTTTTATATAAATAAAGAGTTAGCTAAAGAGTCTAGCTAGTAATTACTTTTAACTACTTTTTATTATCTTTTTGCTTTTTATTAAAGGATTTACTAAGGGATAGTTAATTTCCCTTTTTTTAGTTTATAGTATATAGCGTTCTGAATTATCTAGGTAATATTTAGTAGGTTTATTAAGGAGCCTACTAAGGGATAGTTAATTAAATTCCTTTTTACTAATTTATAGCATTTTAAATTATCTAGGTAATATTTAGTAAGTTAATAGTAGAACTGCCTGTTTATAGCTTTTTCTTATTTATATTCCTTATATTTATATTTATTAGTTAGTTAGTTAGTAAATATAGAAGCCTAGAACTAGTTAGATATAGTAATAATAAAGGATATTAAGACTTATATTTAAGATATATATAGCGTTTAAGGTAGTCTTTATTGCTAATTAATCTCCTTAAAACTACCTTAAATATTAGTTCTAGTGCTAATATTACTTAAATTAAAAGCTATTTTAAATATAATACCTTAAAGAGTCTTAATATGTAATATAGTAATATATAAAAGACTAGAAGTGAAGTCTTTTTTAGTAATTTAAGTAATAGCTTTATTTAGTATTATGCCTTAAGACTTATAAATAGTAATTATATATAAGATTATAAGTAGAAACTATTTATAAGTATAGAGATTACTACTAATAATATACTTTTACGTAAAATAGAAGATAGAAATAATCTTAGTTATATTAGGTATATTAGGACCTTTATTATTAAAGTATAGAGGGCTAGTGTATCCCTTAAAGCAGACTATAATAACCTTAGGTATAATATAGTATAGGTTAATACTGCTAGGTCTATCCTCCTAAGTAAGATTTTTAATAATACTAACTATACTATTAATAAGGCTTATAGCAGTCTAGAGATTCTCTGTAAGTATAATATAAGCACTAATATAAATAGGTAGAGTCTTATAAAGGTTACTAGTAATAAAAGATTTAATATTATATTTAAACTAGTTAGAATAGGTAGTAGCGATCTAGATAACTATACTATTTAGTTATTTTATATAGTTTTAGTTAAACTTTTTAACCTAAAGGTTAGTTAGAAAGATATAAAGAGTATTATTAAATATAGTAACTTTTTTTTTAGTTAACTTTAACTATACTTATAAGGAAAGAAGGCGCTAATATTTAATAGTTAGCTAACCTTTATAAAGACCTTAGAGAGCATTATAGAACGGTGCTTACTTATTACCTTACTATTTAATAATCTGCTTTAACTTAATAGTTTTATTAAAAATGTAGTATATATTATATCTAGTAAGAGCTATTAAATTATAGATATGCCTACTAGTATAAAGAGGCTTTTTAAAAATAGGAGGTAATTAATAAAAGTTATTAAGTAGTAAAATACTTTATTTACTAAAGTAGTTATACTAATATTTAGGGAATACTTAGCGTAGTTATTAATTAATAAAATAAAAAGTCTTTAAACCTACTATTAACTTCTTATTAATAATAATATATAAAATATCTTAGAGATTAGCTTAAAGATTAATTAGTTTATTATTGCTAAGATTAGTTAAGGATAAGATCTGCTTTAATACAGGCAGGTATAATATAGAATGTAAGGTTGTACTATTAATTACATTAGCTGTAATACCTGTTAGTACTGCTCTTACTATATAGCTAGGCTTTTAAGAGTTTAGGGTAAATAAAAGAATATAGATAAGGTATAACTTTCTAGTTCTTCCCTATCTATTAACCTATAATCGTAAAGGCAAAGGATAAATATAGTTTAGGTTAATAGTATTATCTAAATACTAGATAAATAGATTATAAACTAGCTACTATTTAAGATTAAGAGATATAATTTTAGCTTTATCTAAATTTATATTAACCTGTTATAAGTAGTTATTATAAAGATTTTTCTAGTACTTTTATTTTTAAATATAGAGTTAGGGATACTTTTTAATATAATTATCTTAGTTAAAAGCGTAATTAATAGGATAGTTATTAAGTAAGTTAACCTTTTTAGTATTAGGTTTATTTTAAGGGAATATATAAGCAAGCTTTTCCTATATCTGCTTAGGTATCTTATTATCCTTATTTAGATTATCCTTAAATTCCTCTTTCTTAAGGGTTAACTGTAAAGTTAAGAGATAATTATTAGGATAAGCTTTATAGTAAATAAGCTAGCAATACTAGTAGGCTTTTAGGTATATATTAAAACTAATATCTTTAACAGTAAGGAGCTTATTAAAGTTAATATATAGATAGTATATTATTAGCTTAATATAAGTAAAGTCCTTATTATAGTTAGTATACTAAGGAAAGTAGTTAAGTATATAATTAGGAGCATTTAGAAAGATATACTAATACTATTTGCCCTTTAAGAAGTCTACCTTAGTAAGGAATTAAAAGTAACTTAAATCCTGTAGGTATTCCAGATAATTAAGATACTTTTAATATATATTCTTTATAAAATAAACTGCTTGCTTACTATTAGTAGTAATAAAGTTAGCCTTTTAGTAATCCTTAGGATAATAGTAATTAATAGACTGGATAACTCTTATTTTATATATTAGCTTAAGGTTAAGTAATAAATACTATACCTTTTATATAGACTAATCTCTTTTAGTAATAAGTCTATTTATAAACTTAGTAATAAATCTAATAATACTATAAGCAGAGTTTACTTATAGAAGAATAGCTTTAGCTATATCTTTATAGCTTTTAGACTTAACCTTAGCCTTATTAATATACTTAACTATATAGTTAATAATAGCAGCTTAACTTATATAGGGCAATATATTAATATTAGCTAACTAAGCTATGATTAATATCCGGTTAAAGTTATTAAGCTGTGTATTATTATAAGGCCTATTATAGATAGAATAGTTAGGGTTTATATTATAAGCCAGTATAGGCTTAGGATAGAGAGCTTATAGGAAATAGAATTAATAGTATATCTCCTTAGAGAGTATACTATTTTATATATATTTACGTTATTAATAGTATATACTTATATACTAATAACGCTAGACTTAATTAATAATAGCAGTAAGATCTTTAAATATTAGGTTAGGGATAATGCTAATTAATGGGTTAATATTGCGCTACTAGCCAGGTTATTAGCAATCTGGGTTAATAGCTATAATATATATACCTTAGAAATAAAGAAAATCCTTATTAATATTCTGTAGATCCTGTCCTAGTTATATATTTAGGGTTAGAGTGTCCTTAACCTAAAAGAGACTATAGGTATATATACTTCCCTATACTTACTATTTATATTAGAACTATAACTTAGTAATATTAAACTTTAGCTTAATAATATTCTTAAGGAAAGATATAAAATAAGTATTAAAGTAATATATAGTAATATAAAAGTTCTCCTTAAGATTCTTTTTTATAATAGCTATCTTACTATAGTTATTAGTATTTTACTAACTTATATACTTAGGTATATATTGTTATAAACTCTCCTAATAAAGATTAGTAGCTAAAAATATTAGAAAGATACTAGGGTACCTAAGCCTATAGATATACACTTTTAGCTAGTAATAATAACTACCTTAAAAAGGATATATACTATAAAGGCTACCAGAGTAATATATAATAAAGTTAAGAAAAGCCTTAGCCTTTAGAGTATCTAAGTTAAAAGCTATATATAGTTATATAATATTAATCTTAGCGTAAGTCCTATCCTTTTTAATATAAAATAAACTGTATTAATTAACTTACTATCTTATTAAAGTATTAAAGGTAATATATAAAAAGTAAGGATACTTAGTAAAATGCTTATTATAGAACTTTATTAGATATTTAATATAGTTAAAGTAAGTAATACTTTACTGTTATAGTTTAATAAAGTTACTTTTACCTATAGGGAATAGTATAGGAAAGGCTAAAGATAGTAAAGGCTAGGAATAATTAAACTTATTTAAAGGTATATTTTAAATATATAGTATTTCTAACTATAGTTTATAACTAGGTACTGGCTCTAGAGGAAGGTTAGTTATTTAATGCCTACCTTGGAGATAGGTATATAAGTAAGTAAGATTACGCTCCTAAGTAATAAAGTTCAGTATAGCTATAGCTTCCCAGAGGTTAGGATTACCTAATACTTTATTTATATTATCCTATAGGAATTTTTTAATCTTAACCGGATTAATAAGCTTAGTAATAAGCTAATTAGTAATATCTTTATCTTATAGTAACTAGCTAAGATACTCCTTATTAATAACAATCTCTTAATAGCCTGGATAGTTAGTATGTAGAAACTTAAGCTACTAATAAATATAATTTTAATAAACTTAAAACTGTTTTTAAAACTAGTATATTATATAAAGTTAGGCAGTTTAGTTTTAAGGATAGAGTATAATAATATTAAGCGCTTTTAGTAG